TCCTGTCGACGTATGGTGTCAATCAGCACAGGTTGCTGTCCTGGTTGGCCCTGAACTTGCACACCTAATTATGCATTTAGATCAAATTAAACGATATATGATATTGCCTTGATATAAATTAGAATCTTTTGTTATTTAGAAGTTACAAATTCTAAATGTTATCTTAATTTTATTGCTTTAATTAATATCAATTTCTCCTTAATAAATTTATTTTTATAACTTTTTTATTTAACCTAAATATTTTTGTAAACAAATTAAATATATTTAAATCTTTTAAAAATTCATGTAAAATCCAAAGACAGAGTTAAAGAAAGGTGAAATTTTGTCTATATATATTTTTTTTTAATTGGAAAACTAAAGATTGCAGGAATGGATGAATGAAGAAGCAATTGTTCTTTTGAGAAAAAATAACTACAAATTCATACATAAAAAAATAATATAAAATAATAATGTAAAAGTTTAGAACAATAAAGCTTTTACAAAAAAATTTTTTTAATAATTTATATGATACTTGTGTTCTCAGATTTAATCAATTGTAATTTGTAATTTACCTCCTTGTCCAATTTGAGATACTAAACCCAAAACTCTCTCTTGTCTTCCAACAATCTCATCTAATTTTCTATGAAGATCGCGTAAAACTTCAAACATCTGACTTTGTCCATGAAATATCTGTCGTAATTCTCTTTGATTCTCCGTTTCAAAGTACTCATCAAATTCCATCTTTTGACTTTCTGGATGTTCCCTGTTAGAATGACATATCAATATTGAGACTTAGTATTGTAAAAACATCATGGCATTGCATTTTCTTACTTCTGGTATTCCTCTTTTTGTTCATCTAATTTTTTTTGGTAGTCTAAGTATTCCTGTTGGAGTTTGGCTTGTTCTTCTATAGAAACTTTATTCCCGTCCACTGGAAGCTGTCCGGGAGGATGCAGAGAGGTAGTAAGAAAATATAAGATGTCGTGGTCATCAGCCAGGCCACCTAGATATTCGAAAATGAATAAAAACATGAGATATGCAATTACATCGGTATACCATATTAATACTTTTTATATGCATACCAGTAGCGGCAGAAATTCCAAAATATCCATTTTTCGGTAACATAACGTTGTCAGCTCGGAAACATATATCATAATCTTGATCATTATTCGTCATACCATTATGGAATAACAGCTTGAACAGAAAAGAGACCAGTCAAATGAGAAATGTCAAGATAAAAATAGCTAGAAAAATGTCTAGTATACTCACAGTTAACGAATTCATATAATACTCTATCCGCGCTCGTGTGGCAAATGGTTTATTGCGGAAATCTCGCAAACAGCCTGATAATTGTTGCGTAGAGCCGTCACTATTTAAGAATGGAATGAAACACAAATTATATAAAACTAGTTCGAACATGCGAGTCATAAGTAAGTTGTTAAGAACGTAATTTACTTTATGTGATCGAAGGCCTTTGTGCCGTCATTGACTATCGCCATGATGTATGGATTATTATGCTTATTGTCATTATCGAACGAGTCAAAAAAAATTCCCAAACCCGTCCAAAGATCTGAGCTGCCGAAAACGGAGCCATTGTAGAATCCCTTATCACTTGTGTACCAGAATGCCAAACCATCCGCTCCTATCCTTCCACGTCCGCTTATTCGGAATACTAATTCTACCTCCCACCAGTCAAAAATTGTGGGTTGTTTTACCCATATTGCACCTAAACAATATATTTCATAAATCTCTTGCAAAATTGTCGCAAATCGTCCATTTTATAATGTACTTGAAAAATCAATATTTTTAATGTTCTGAACACATAAATCTTATAAATATTACTTTTAATAATTTATTCCTTAAAAAGCTTTAAGTATTGGCATGTTTATATGAGATTTGCACACAAACCTTTTTGGCTTCTGAGCGACGGTGCTACTCTGACATTTTCTGCACTAGCAATGGCATCTGCAATTTAAAATGTAAAAGTATTTTTGAAAGAAAACGAATATATTACATTTATATTATACGTGTAATATTTATATTAGATATATTATGTCAAATCAGATAAAAAATAATATTAAGATTGTTATCTTTATAAGGAATAAGTGAAACATGTGTCCAATTAAAATCAACATAATACAGCAATGTTTTTTTTTAGCATTACTATTAAATACTTCTTTAAAACATTATTATCAGATATTTCTTTATACAAAGGAATCTTCTGTACTTTAATCCTCAGTTATTGTACGTACTTTTACTTTTATCATTACCGCACAGTATAGCATATCCCGTTAATGTTAAAGTAACTCTAATTTTCGACAATGTACTGATTACTAGTAATAAATGTGTATAAAATCTTCATTTTGGAAGATTTAAAGAAGAGCCTTATAATATATAGTAGTAGAATCGCCGAAAATTGTAAATTACAAAAAATATTTAATAATGAACAAGAGTCAATTTTTTAAACTATTACGAAAATCACGAAAAATACTTTTTCAAAAAAAATTATTAATTATACTTAATATAGAGATAAAAATAAAAAAAACTAAAGGAATAAGCTGTTAAAGGTGCATATTTTAATTAAAAACATGTGTTAAAAAAAAATATTCCTATGTAAGTATATTTGATAAGTAAAATTGCATGATTTTTTATAGAAAAATTATTGCTACCACCTTTTCACACAAACTGACAACCCTAGATAAGGAAAAGAATATTTTGACTTAACTTTTTTTTCTACATCCAGTACCTCATTTCTCCGATTTCTATAAATGCTGCATAATTTTCAAACATTCTGGATATGCCATATCCCTGTACAGTAACTGAGTTTAATACTATTTTTTCATTAAATATTTAAAACATAAATGTGTTTTTAGAAGGAAATGATTAAGTATATTACATTTGTTATATGTGTTGTATTATTTATATTAGATACATTTGAAACCAAATAGAAAATACTTTATTAAGATTGCTATTATATCTTTGTAAGAGACAAGTAAAACATATGTTAAATTAAAATCAATATAATACAGTAATATTTAACATTACTAGTAAATATTTCTTTAGACATATTGTATTTGAGACCAGATAGAAAATAATATTAAGATTGACACCTTCATAAGGGATAAGTAAACATATGTTTAATTAAAATCAACATAATATAGCAATGTTTAGCATTACTATTAAATATTTCCTTAGAATAATATTCCCAGATACTTCTTTACACAAGAGAAGAATTTTTCCTCATATTTTTCAATAATACTTTTTTATCATTCATTAAATATAATTTTATCTTTCTCTTCAATCTTCATTCTCGCATCCAACTGAACTATATTAATAGAAAAGAAATAATCATCGAACGTTAGCCATTCTCGGAAGTTTCTAGGTGTATTGACTGCAGGATTATCGCAATTCCGTGCCTTATAAACAGTCATTCATTACTTTATTTCAATAGCATGTGCGAGCGAGAAGCGTGTGCACATATACGTCAACGTCATCAGTGTTTTGATCGCTTTCAAGATAGCCAGTGCGGCGGGAAATTATGCAAGTGCGTCAGCGGGATCGAGAGTGAGACGGCGGTCGCTCGAGGACGCGAAAAACCCGCGGGTCATCCCGCTGCACCGTCCAGATCGGCGCCGCCGGAGTAACATACGGAAGGTTGCGGTCGGAGCGCGACGTGTCGGCGCGACAGGTGTCGGTTTAGGTTATACAACCCTTCAACGCGGTGTGGGAGTACTTACTTCCGCCGTATTCCCAGAATGGTACGCTGCCGTCCTTCTGCGCGAGATACGGTGGTTTGAAGGAGTATTTGTACTCGAATTTCCGATGCGGTGCCTCGCCGCGGCACAACGACACACCGCAGGACACGAGGAAAACGAAAAGCCACCTCACCTCGGCGGCCATCTTCATTTCGACTGTTAATGAGTGACGATCGTGGCGACGGCCGGTCGGTGGCACGCCATGAAGTTGCTCGCGACGCGCACCGTATGTATGTCGTATGAATGTATGTATATCACGATGCAAGTAGAGTCCTAGATTTATCAGAGAGGCGCAACCGGCTTAAGGGCCTGCGCACAATAGAGGAACAGGAATTAGATATTAAGATTTCAACCTATCAGAAACTGATTACATCGGAATACACGATTTCTGATAGGTTGAAATCTTAATATCTAATTCTTGTTCCTCTAGTGTGCGCAGGCCCTAAGTCAGTATGACAAAGGTGCTAAGGAGTGTACTAAACATGGCCGACTTTGCTATGAAACTGCCTTTAAACTATGTCAAACAAGGGCCGTGGTCCGAATCATGCTGACAACGCTCATGAGCATTGTTTGTCTTCGTTTAACATTTGACAAACAACAAGGATGAAATGATTTTTAAGCGTTGTGAGCGTGTATCGGACCGCGGCCAAGATAAGACGTGTAGGATAATGTGAGATAGAATGTAGAGGATAAAATGAAATAGAAATATGTCACTAGTACTATAAATGGCTGCCAAGTCACGCAATTGGTCAGATTGCAACAGCGAATCAGAATGCATAACACCGATTGCGCCTCTCTGATAAATCGGGTGATCCCGATTGACCATGGCTCGATTGGACACCACCAATCACAGCGACCGGTGCTTAGGAGCTTTGTAGTCTCAAGCGCTGTGAGTGGCTCGTGTCCAACTGGGTGCCACCCAAGATACAAGCTTACACAGAGCCCTCGACTGAGTACGGATGTGTAGTGTTGTGTCGACGATAAAGCTGGAAACACAATAAACACAGGCAATAGGCACAGGCAACAGGGAATAACGAGCCGTCCAATCAGAGCTCTGGGATATAATATCGAACTTATACCCCAAAGCTCTGATTGGACGGCTCGTTATTCCCTGTTGCCTATGTCTATTGTGTTTCCAGCTTAACGGACAATTGGAACGCAACTTGTGTCGCCATGTGCACGAAAGTGTCTAGGGATATTGCTTAATAATTGGAAAGCACCCTGTGCCTGTTCACATCAGTTGGAACCGTGGTCGGAATTGCCATCTAGCTTGAGTCAGTGGTCGATGGCATATCCATGTGTCCAAGATGGCGTCGCTCGTTGACAACTACGAGCAGCAGTACGCCGTTCTGACAGCTGACATCACTGCGAAGATTGGCCGGATTAGGGTCCAGAGTGGAGGTAAGAAACGTCGTTGAGACGGCGATCAAAGAGACGTCGCGTGTCTCGCACGATAATCCAACTGACACGTAACCGCCGCTCAAAGTCAATGTTAAAGGGCAATAATCGATATGTGTGACGTAATTTGTAGGTGAGAAAAGAGCCTTCGTCCAGGATGTGGACCGGCAAATCGAGGAGGCACAGGAGCTGGTAATTTAATTTGCATTTCCTCTCCTTTCTTTTAATTAAAGTGATGGACTGATTGTGTGTGATGCTAGATCTCGATTCACCAACTGTCTATTGGTTGGTGTAACGTAGGGTTAGAAAAATCATTCTGCGTTTTGTATTGCGCGCAGTTCACAGTTCTTGTGAAAAAAATGGTCTGTTTTCTGTTCCTGCACTAGACTGCACTAGAAGTCTCTTTCTTGCTTTCGACAAATATCAAACATATACCTATTTCACTTTAAGTTCCAAGAGTGTACACTGGTTCAGCCACAGAAAACAGACCTAAAGATCGAGATACTTTACGGAATATATAAGCTGTTTCAGAGTTTAATGGATAAACTGCAGGAATATATTCTATAAGTGGAAACAAGAAAAAAATGGTCTTTAAAGTTTGGCTATGCTTTATTGTAAAGTTGTAAACAAATATGGGAACATTTTGGTGGCATTTTGGTTGCTGTTACTATTTTACGACACCAGTGAAACCGTTATGTTGAATATCATATTCATGTCTTGATTCATGCACAGGTCAAAATGATACTGAATTATTTACAGATATTAAATATGATATGAATATACACGAGATAAACACGTTTGATCTTTCCAACATGAAATATACATTTTCGTATCCTACACAATAAAAAATCCATTATTTTTTATTTCATGTTGATTTGATATTTATTTATAACTTTGTAATAAAGCATTTCTAGCCAAACTTCAAACAATGTCTTATTTGTACACTTGTAGAATATGCTCCTGTAGCTTGTCCTTTAAATCCAAAGAGATAATGTATATAAACAGCTCAATATTAGATCTAATTGAATGTTGATTATTAATTCCCTGGAGCTAACTATAATCTATTGGACTGATTGGACCTAATCAATACTTCTTTGTTGAAAACAGTCAATTTTCTTTATGTTATATTAAATTTAAATTATATTTACTGAAATACATACTTAGTATACTTATTAAAATATACTTGCTGTCCATTCTTTTTTTATGAGTCATTTTGGTTTCTTGAAATTAATTAGTACCTTTTAATTAAAATAAATTAAATGAGTTTTACAGACTCAATGTCAGTAACTGTGTTAAAAATTTTGACATCAGCTTCAGAAGTTTAATGGGTCAGTTTGCTTAATATAGGGTAATACATTTAAGTCCAATTTCTATGAATGTTAGATTAACTTTAATCTTGGTTTAATTTACTCTACATTTTTTTTTAATTCTTAGAAGAAGATAAAAAATAAGTAAAACCAAAATTAAAATTTTACATTGGTAGAAATGACATTAGTATGAATAAAATTAAATTTTAGATCACAAATCATTTAAAAAGATTTTTTAGCAGTCTGTAAAAATCTTATTATTTTGGATATTTTGTATTTATTATTTATTTTTATATATGAATTTCGATTTATAATCCATTTTTTCTTAAAATAAGGCAATTGTTTTTTAATCGATCCACTAAACATTTTAAAATCTCTAGTTTTTTAGTTTCAGAGATAGACAAAAGTTCACTTTTTGTTTAATTTTAAATGGATTTTTACAAGATCAAATTGATTTATATCTGTTTATAAAAATAATCAAAGTAAATATTTAAAAAATATTATAAAAATATTATAAAAATAAATTTATTAAGTATTTGATTTTAATTGAAGCAACCAGTTTAAGATAACATTTAGAATTTATACATTCTAAATAATAAAAGATTGACAGAATTAGGAACAATTATGCCTATGAGATATGTTTTATTCCGTTTGCCTTTATTTGGGATGCTCCATTATAAAATATTTGTCTCAAATAAAAAAATTATCTAAAATTTGCAGCTGGAGCAAATGGAGTTGGAGGTTCGTGGGATGAACGGAACAGCACGCGACCGTCTACGTGGTCGCGTAGAGAGTCACAGAGCGGAACTGAAACGCTTAACGCAAGAATTTCAAATTGCAAAGAAACCAAAGGAGGATGTTACAGAAATCACAGTAGAGGAATCTTGGGACAATAACGTAACAGAAGACCAGAGGAAAAGACTATTGGATGCTTCTGAAAGAATAGAACGTTCAGGACGGACGTTACAGAATGGTTATCGTATGGCATTGGAGACTGAGGAGATTGGTTCTCATGTGCTGAAGGAGCTTCACGAACAGCGAGAGACAATACAACGGAGCAGAGGAAGAGTAAGTTCTTTATATGGTCGTGAGAGATAAAAACCCATGGGGCACAAAAAAAAAACGTAAGGCGGTAAAACGTAAGCAGTGAATTTGAGAGTGAATTTGCCAATCACAATAGAGAGTATAAGGCAATAACATAAGCAATAAAGCCTGTGACACATGCAAAAACACAAGGCAATAAAGCCTTTTCTACAATTGCGTAAACATAGTTGTAAGAATTGACTAATCATAGTTGAATATGAGAATATTCAATTATAATCAATTACAACCTTGTTTTAAGAATGTGGCGACTCGCCACTAGAGGTCCACGGGACTCACTCGGTTCGCATAAGCACCGCGCCGCGCGAATTCCCTTTAAATAGAATATTCTGGACTCGTTCCAGGCGTCTAAGGCAAGTCCCACACTACATCGCTTTACTGATGAGTCTAGTAGTGTAGAGTCAGGACGAAATGCTGCAGCCGACCACAAAGCTTCGAGTCAGTGGACATTTCCACAAGAGGCCTTAAGTCATAAGTCGAAAGAGATTAAATGATAATAATTTTTGTCTTCAAACTGTTTTTGTGCAGTTAGGCTGCGCAGTTAAATTCTTTAAGCTTTAACCGTTAGACTTAAGCGGATTGAGCTAAACCCAATTTTTATCTAAAAGTTTTGTGACCGATATATCGTCACTTATAGCTTACAGCCTCTTAAAGCAACGTTGTAGACTTAAGACGCGGCTCCAATAGAGGCTCGTAAGCTTAACCATAAGCATAAACATAATGACTCTGTATTGTCTACAATAGCAGCCCATAAATGTAACGTAACGTAACAAATCGTAAACTCGTATTTGAGTATTCTAACCTCTGTACTATATAAGTTTTTATAAAGTGTGTAGGAATTTCAGAATTAATAATGGATATTTATCGAGTTAAAAAAATTAGCCTTGTGACTATTCAACTAGGTACAATTGTTATGCAGTTATTGCGAAAAAAAAAGAAAAAGATTGCTAAACGAAAATATTAGGTTCGACCACTATTATTGCAGCGGAAACATAAAGGTCACTTTCATACTCTTTTTAAATTTATTAAAAATCATGACGATGAGCAATTTCTAAAATTTACCTGAATGACTATTTCGCAATTTGAAAGACTACTTGAATTAGTACAAGAGCCTCTGACAAAAAAAGTTTTCGTGAACCTCTCTTGCCAGCACATCGATTATGTTACTTTATAGTAAAAGTAAAAGTTCAAATAAACCAGCATTTACGTCTAAACTTACGGATCTTTATTGGAGACGCGCCTTTAGTTTCACTTAAGCCCATTCTACAATTGCGTAAGTGTAGTTGTAAATAGTTATAGTTGTAAGAATTGATCAATCACTGTCGAATACAAGAAGAATATTCAACTGTGATTGGTCAATTCTTACAACTACAATCATTTACAACTACGCTTACGCAATTGTAGAATAGGCTTTATAACTATGTTTACGTAATTGTAGAATGAGCTTAAAACGTAAGCAATAAATCAGCCAATCACAATAGAGAACGTAAGGTTATTGTCTTAAGCTCATAGTTGTAAGTGGTTTTAATTGTAAGAATTGACCAATCACAGACGAATGAGGAGAATATTTGACTGATTGATCAATTCTTTACGTTCTCTATTGTGATTAGCCAATTTGCTTACTGCTTATGTCTTAATACTTTATGCTTTTTTGTGTGGCATTGACTTTACTGCTCTTATTGTTTAAGTTTTTTTGTATGCTATAACTCGTAGCTTTTACGTGAATTATATTTAAAAAGAAAAAAACACAAAATCACAATGTTTATTGTTTCAGTTACGCGAAACAGATGCAGAGTTGGGGCGAGGGTCTCGGTTATTATCAGGAATGATCTTTCGGAGCCTTCAACAGAGAATTATTTTGGCAGGAGTAGCGTTAGTGCTTATAATCGTTGCGTGCATTGTGATATACTATAGTTTTAAGAGTTAAAGAGAACAGACATTTTTTTCTTCGGCCAGATCCACCAGATGTGGTTTGGAAGTTGTATTTATTATCAGAGACTTCAAAATGTTATTTCTATCAAATTGCGAGGTAATCCTGTATTATATCGTCTATCCAACTTTCTTGTACTTGTTTGTCACATTTTGCCTTAGGACATCAGTCTTTGCTACACGTTTATTCTTTTATTAATCTGACAAACATCAGACGACTGAATCATGATCTCTTATACAAAGTCAGTACCTCGAGCAAAACTAGCAAAATGTCATCAAACAAGAACAAAAGACCCCGTTTAATTGTTATATAAAGTCTTGTATAAAAAAATATTGACCCATCCCCGTAAGGTAAATTATAAAACGATTTTACGATTCTCCTCCAAGCTAACTTTGCGCGTCAAAGTTAATTAACTAAAATCATATTGAAGCAGTGAATGATTATCACAAATGCATTATCTTCAAGTACTTTGGAAAGGATCGTAAAACCGTTTGAATTTGTTATCCGAGAATCTTGATCAGCGGTTAACAGCGTTCAAGTTTCTAAAGATATTCCGAACCACAAAATATATTCAACAAGAAATGTATTTATTAAGTAATATTCAAAGTTTTCGACGTTGCGTGCGCCGATTATCGGGCACACGCATCGAAATATTACCTCTTCAGGATAATATTTGAGGAAATATTATCTGTTCAAGTTAACAACTACGTACTAATTGTTGTAATTTTGACCTGAGCCGTAATCGGGTGAGTTCACTGCGACTCTACCAGTTAAAAATGCATTCTATAATTCGCCTCTTACATGAAAATAACAGTCACTGTGTACATTATTGAAGTATGCGTGGGTAAGGATTGAATTGTAAATACATCCATTATCGAAAATATCCAAGGACGCTTGTAATTGAGAGAAAGAGAAACTAAACGCGCCTAATAATAACTCCTTTTATTACTTGTTATGTTATCATTTACCTTAATTAGCTTAAATGGTGCTTTTTTTTTCATCTGCGTCCCTAATGTACCCGTGAAAATGATAATATAATAAAAGTATCTCGAGGATTAACGCGCGAATATTCGATGACAATAGTGACTTCGGTGAGAGAACAGCGGCGAGGAAAGGCGCTTTGCTTCCATTTCTACCATCGAACGTCTTTCTTTTGCGTTCAGTGCTGGTGCAGACAAGCGATAGCACAATCGCTCAGTCTGGTCAGTCCAATTGTTGATAGAGATCCTCTATCTGTGGTTTAAAGTACGCTTTCAGTTGAGGCCGTTTCGATTTCAACGTTGGTGTTAAAAGCCCATTTTGTACCGAGAACGGATCTGGATGGAGATAAATATCCTTTACCTGCGAAGCAAATAATAGGGATTTTCAAATTATCAGACTCTTTCAGGTTTCACACTTAAGATTTTTATGCATTTTTATCTACCACAAAACTCGACTACAATCAATCTTGGCCATAAGTATAAAATATTCTCAATTTCTTGCATGGTTTTGGAAAAGGCAATAATAAAAATCAAAAGAAAATTAATAAAATATTAAAATTGTTATAAAAATAAATATTACTTTTCGATATTAACAGTTTTTAAGTTTATTTTTTGTTAGATGTAAGACATTTATGTCAATTTGTGGAAGTGCTTTATATTTATAGCCAAGGAGATAGATGGGATCAAACGGAATTTGACATCTGAATTTTTTGAATAAAAGAAAAAAAGATAGAAAAAGAAATAAGGAACAATAATATACTTGTTCAAAGGATTTCAGACCAGCTTCTTTTCCCCACGCTAACATGTCATCGAGGATTAGTTTTTTTACTTCTGGATTGACGCACAGAACGCTCAGTGTACCAGGTATGCCATTCTCCACCGCCCAACACTTAATTACATCTACGTCTGGTACTACTATTGCTATGATACAAGATTTCAATGATTCTCCGTGGACGAATACTTGTTGTACATATTGGCTGCGTATGTAAATGTTTTCGATCTTTTCCGGCACGATATATTCCCCTTGCGATAGCTTGAAGATGTGCTTCTTTCGGTCGATTATCTTTAACGTTCCATTCTGAAAGCAATTCAATAAATATAAAAAATATTATTTATTTTAACTTATACTTTAACTTATAAGCTTAATAATTATCTTTTATAATTTATCTATTATTCATTTATTTATTTTTTCACTATCTTAATTATCTTAATTATCTTAATTATTAATATTCTTCAGGCTTCCACAGGTTCTTTCTATATAAAGATTATGCGTTCCGCGGGTTTTCTCCGTGTTTAGATCCATTCTTGGAATGTCAACGTTTCGTGAACCTTACAGTTCACTTTGTTAGGGCGAGGAACAGCTTGATACTGAGTAAGGTTCACGAAACGTTGGCATTCCAAGAATGGATCTGGACACAGAGAAAACCCGCGAAACGCATAATCTTTATATTTTAATTATTATTTAAAAAAAAAAAAACAATTTCAGCTATCTCTGATTTCGTTTCTAAAATATACAAGATGTATCTGAAATAACGCCCACTGTCATCATATAATGCTGTTCCTAATAAAAAAACAATCGAAAAGTTCTCTATCATTTTGCAATTTTCGCAATATTTTTTTTAATTACCCAATGAGGAAAATGTCTAAAATCGACGTATAAGACAACTTTAGAATATCTTTAAGAGTTCTTCAAGCAACATCTTCAAAATATTTCACAAAGAATACTGAAAGATATCTTAAAATTGTCTTATACATCGATATTATCCGTTTATTCAGCAATCTTTAGAAATTAATATCTCGTTGATTATGTAAAATGGTAGAAGATCTTGTATATTATTTATAAAGATTTAAAGATATACTGATAATGATCGCTATGGAATGGAATAAATGTAATTACAGGCTGCCACATGCCGATGTCTCCTGTGTGATGCCATCCCTGTTCATCGATAACCTCGGCAGTTTTTTCTGGATCCTTGTAATAACCCATGAAGACGTTAGTACCCTTGACGCACACCTCACCCTGGTTGTTCGTCGCGAAGTACTCCATCTCCGGAACATCCACGAGCTTGACGCAACAGCAAGCCACTGGTGGTCCCACGTGTTCCGGTACGTGATCGCCCTGCATTCAGATGCAAACCAGAAATTAGAAATCCGAAGGACAAATTAACAAAAAAGAGATTATTCCTATTTTCAACAGAGAATATTTCTGCTAAACGCGAATATCTTTAATTACTCTGTGATATTATCATTCCTTACTATGGAAATTTATAATACTGGAAGGTAGTGTTTAACATATTTATTTAAAATATTTTACTTTAAGTGTTTTTGTTATTCAGTACTTTCAATATTGAAAGTAAGTAATTCATTACTATCTCTCAGTATAAAATTGACCAATATTAAATATTAAATTTTTGCAGAAAAAGGGAGGGAATTATGGAATATCACTTTTATTTTATTGAAATAATTCGATAAATATTCATGTGACAACTATTTTTGGTACTAAGTTTGTTAGTCAAAGAGTGATACCAATTATGCTTATAATTAGATAAAAGTTCTTCGGATATAATGAATGTAATTTACAAGAAATTAAAAAGATAAAAAAATTACTACTAGTATATACATATAGTATAACTTTACACGTCATATAAGTATATATATATATATGTACATATTTTATTATAAAATTTAGTTCAATTATATCATTTGAAAATCAAATTCATTAATATGCATATTTTAAGACCTCCAAGCTAGACTGAAGTTACAAAATCAATATTAATATATATTTTTTGAAATTGTGTAAAAAATACACACTTGTAAAATTCTGCTACTTGCAAAATTAGAATGCAGTTTTTACAACAATGCAATAAATACTAATGATCATCATTATAACCACGTTATAAGTAGACTCAAAGAGTAATTTTTTTGATTGCTTCAACTATATTATGATATCGTGATATTCTACAACCTGCACTTATTCTATAATCGCTTTCTTTCCCCTAAGAGCTCTTATCTAATAATAACTAACAATAATTATTTTAATATATAATTGTTATAAGATATAATTTCCCACTCAATAATATAACTGTAATATAACACGTATATGTAATATTATTGAGTCATATTATTAAGGAAAATTATAACTAACTGTTATGTTACTGTCTATTTAGTGTCTGCTGAGTATAATACATGTATAACATATTCAGATATAATTATGATGGATCGATGGATGTTCTGAATACAATAATTTAATATAGCTAATGCTCTTGTGATGGCGATGGCACACCACGTGCCCCTGGCACATGGCTCCAAAGCTTTGATTCGATGAGCTAACAGAAATATCTACACTGCGACGGCTTTTACCATCTATATATTTATGTCGATACCTGCGCCAAGAATAGAGAGAGCACGCGCATCACTTGATTATTAGTCAGCATTCAATAAAAACATCATTTTAATTCCGCCAGCCTGTCAGCGGTAAACACCTCCGTCTCGTGTGTGTGTGTGTGTGTGTGAGACGAGTACTTTTTTAAATTTCAACTATCGATGAGCCAAGAATGATTCCATTAGCTTTAATTAACAAAGAGGTAAATCGAGGCGAAATAAATCGTTTAATTTTAGAAAGAACATTGATTTGCGGAACATATCGAAAATTATGTTGCGTAAGAGATGCGAATAACTTTGTTGTGTAATTTATTGCAGATTAAGAACCTGCGCATTTTCATGTTCTCAGAAGCATAATAAAGAGCAAAGCGGTATTATTATAATCACTGGAGACTTACGCTTGGGTGATTAGGGTGGTTATGGAGCAGCGTTTCTCAAACTGCGCGATATGCTTCGCAAGTTTCCATGGGTTTGTAATAAAAACAAAAATCATGTCTCATATATATATATATATCTGTTGGGCGAACACAATTTTTTCACGTGGCTATAATGTCGATTGGTGACATGACGTACAAATGACAACTCTTATAGAAATTTAATATTGCAAGGTAGTGATTAACTGTTTATTTTGAATATTAAAAACATTACTGTAACAATAATCTTGCGCTGACATAATTCTTGTATATTATATTCTACCTACAGGACTAAATTCATTTTCTTGCGTTATATTCCCTGATTTACATTATATCTAAGGACATTATTCAAGCTAATCAATGTTTGACTACAATTATCTGACATTATTCAAGCAATTCAACGATTGACTGCAATTACCTATTGTCATACGATGATTTTTTCCAAGCTATTATAACTGTGAATAGGATGATAATCGTTTTTATGTTATCAGCGTTTGTTAGAGAGGGCGAAGTATAAATTTATATAATGTTTTGTTTTTACCATTTGTAATATTATGTTTTTAACATTGATAATGATCTGATCGCGATCGAAACGTCTGTTTGTTTATTGCTAGCACATTGTATTAAATCAACTAAAGGATTGTTTCTTTTACTTATGTTCAAACTTGTACATTAACGATGTTTAATTTTATAAAATAATTTTTGGCTCGTAGCCCTTTTTCTTTATTGTTTATTAAAAACATTCTTATAGTCAATACTCAAAATAAGTAATTTATTATCTTTCAGCATTAAACTAGCCAGTATTAAATTGGATTTTTGTAGAAGAAGATTCTACGAGATATACGTTTTGAAATCAAAGCATTCAGACATCGTCGAAATTATCTAACTTCAAACTACCGCAATTGAATTATATACATTCAACATAACAGCTGAGACTGTATTCTCAAAAATTATGAATTGTTTATTGACGAATCCAATGACAGTGTAAATTGGCGTAATGCAGGATAAATATTCGGGGGAGGAGCGCGTACATTACGCGTGAGGAATTTGTGGAATTTTAACGGAGATTTATGCACATTATGTTTGTTTCTGCATAGTGCTGATTTTGTCGCAGTGCCAAACGGCGTTCGATAAAATGCGGC